CCGGTTTACGAAAGCGATCCCCAAAGTCGGGCGGTGGCGCGTCCATGTCCCAGTACTTCGCCTTCCAGCTGAGTAGTGTAGGCTTCTTAACTTGAAGATGCTTCACCGCGTCCTTAATTTTCCTTTCTGAGTACTGTTTTCACTGCTGTATCTTCGCCCACTGCTCCTTTATTGGCGTTTTAACCCACATGGCGATCGAAGGGGAGTTTTCTGAATGAGGGCCGCTTTGCCACACGTGGTCCATTTGATTTTAACCGGACCGAGATCAAAATAATTTGAGCCAATGATCCTTCGTATTAATGTGGCCTTTGTTCAACAACCTGACCCAGTTCTTATTAATGTGATACAAGTTGAACATGATCCGGCCGGCTACCCTACGCCATGGCGAGCCGACAAATCATTATATAGGTTTGCCCAGTATGGCCGTAAGGTTAATGCCACGTTGGCAATACGGAAGGCATTGATACATTAAACAAATGCAGTGGTGAGGCTGACATTCGGTGCTTAGTTGCAATTCATGCATTTCTATTGTAGAATTGGAATATGATGGTGCTAGAGCGTTATTCAGTGAAGTCTACACCGTTAGACGACTTCCGATGAATGTGTATAGAATACCCATTACCCGTCTTCCAACACAGAGAGTGCTCCAATGGGGCAACCACGTAGAGAGTGTTGACCCCAAGAGAAGTTGGTGCTTTCCGATTAACCCAAAGTCGCTGGGGGGTTTCTTTTTCGGAGAATCTATAGTTTTTTTTTACATCTTATGGCATTGGTTGTTGCTACAGTGTTGGTGCCATAATTCTTTTATCGTATTACTAGCTTGTCCTCGAACCGCACATGCGCTTCCCAGCGACCAGAAAGTGCTTTGTCATGCACTACAAACTAGTTTTTATTGTAAATGAGAATTTTGTAAACACAGTTGAGAGTATATTTCTACTATCATTCGCAACAAGCACTCTGTAACTCAGTTTCCAGTAAGCAGCAGCAACTGTAGCTGCGTCATTACCAGTAGCGGTAGTAGGAGTAGCAGTATTACGCAGACATAACTACAAACACAGACAAGCGTACCCGCTCTGAGCAGCGATACATATAAGAATTAAACTGGCAATGAAGAAAGTTATATGGTGCGGTCATGAACATTCAGATTACGTATTCTAACGCTTACTCATGTACCAATATTGCGCTGAAACGCCTAACCGAGTATATACTGGATATCCAACGCAGGTGAAGCGAGAGGAGGCCGCCCTCGCTGCGCCCGAAACGGAAGTAACTCCGTTGGTAGGGCAGTGATATACGTGTGAGGATCAACCGTATGTGTGTCTGGAGAAAGCGGGCACATTGCCTTGCCGGGTAAGCTTAATGGCACCCCTATTTGGCTATTAGTCATTGGCACATAAGCAGGGTGTATACTGGAGGATCCCTCAGCCGATAACGCTGCCTGCGTTTGTTCGAGACCATGGGAAAGTGGCGGTAAAGCATCAAATCGGTCGGTGGGGTCCTGATCTTGGCAATCATCGTAAATATCACTGAAGAAGATGAAGCTGGAGCTCAAACTGAGTTCTACGTCTGAATGCAGTTCCCATGGATTTGTTGGAGGTGGCAGATCTTGCGAAATATGAACTAAGAGTGTCTGTTGAGCTCGTTCAATACTGGGAAGTTGGCCAGCTTGATATGGCGTAGTTGGCTCTCGCGGCGGCCGCGGCGATCCTTGAATCTCAGGTGATAGCCATCGACACCGGGAACACTAAGACCGGCGGCCGCACGGCCACAGACGACATTAGCACAGAAAAGAAATTTCCTGAAGTAGGGGCATTTGCACTGAAAAATATTGATACGGACTAGCCAACCCTCTTGCGACATACCAACATGATGTGCCCTGCGGACACTCCACTTTACAGCTGAGCGGTAAAACATGGATGCCACCGCCTTTTCCTCGTCTGTTAAACCTTTCGGTGTGGATGCCATCGATCGATGCTGCCCACTGACGATCCGGGTGTCTGACAAATCCGAAATATCATGCGAGGTGCTTTCATCTCGCTCCCTATCACCAAGATACAGCACCCGCACGATCGAGGTATCTGGCGTTGCGTATACAGCAACGCGTCTAGTCGAAACTAGCACTTTTGCGACACGTTTTGCTTCTTGGGGAGTACCACAACAGTACCCGACGCAGGAGATGGGGCACATATCGAGTAATCTTCAGTAATAGTAAACAGCTTCCGTAGCAACCGCAGCGTGTCGTATGTTTTACGCTGAGTATAACGCTTGATACTAGCGCTGAAAACTCCACATGGGTTATCGCATATCCGCTACCGAATGAAAGATTTGCCACAGCCAGAACGAACTACTAATCCATTGCTTATCAAAGTAGCTAGGGAAGGTACTAAGGCTAGCCACTCGTTCGATACACGCTTCCATTCCCCGACAAGATGTTCTCAACTCAGAGTGTAATGCATGTCGAGAATGCCACAGTACACGGTAGCTCGAACGCATTCGGGTAGATGTCTGATACGTTTGCGAACATTGTAGAGTACATGAAAAAAAACACATCAGATACGAGCTGCTTTGAAAGTCGATCAGTTCAATAAGTCCATTCAATTGCGCAGCCTCTGCATCACCCATAACAGCATCAATTCGAAGATTCGTCCCCATACGCTCGTAAAATATACCAAGAAAACTTCCAATTACCTCGTAATATTCACGCTGTGTTCTTTGACTTACAATAAACACGCTAGCGAGATGATAAATTCGGCGGCGGTCCGTGAATCCACACGTGATAACTGGATATCCAATATCACTGAGCTTAAAGGAAGCATCTAGATGGAATATCAAGAACGGTTCTTTTTCCTGAAGAGCCTAATAAGCCGTGCATGAGCTTAAGACTAGTCATGCCCAGTATTAACGGTCCCTCATCTTCCCCATTTCCAACAAAGGGAAGGCCATCTCCATCTTGCTTATTTCCAAACACGAAAGCAGTCTCAGGATCTAAACCGCTTGAGAATGTCTTTACACGTACAAGCTCTCGTACACGTTTTATTGAGTTCTTAGACCCTTGTAGCCAACAGTTGTGCCTGCGCTGAACCTGTGCGTACGACGGAAAGCCAAGAGCAGGTACTGGAATATCTGGAGCTCTTAGCATGTTGCTCCAAAAGAGCCGTGATGGCACTGAGCTATCATCCATGCGCTGAATGTACTCCTTCATTTGTGGCGTTACTCTTGGTTTTGGGGCGACATCACAGGGGAGAGTTCCGCGTGCGTGGCTGTGATAGCTTGTAAATATTCGCCATGTCGAAGATTTATCACAGTGGTGAACCTTCCAGGTAACTAAGCATTTCTGAGGCCGAGCTGCGTCTTCACAGGTTGGGCTTTGGCATCGAAGTCGACGCTCAGTCATCTCGTGGTCCCCGGGGCATACTATGAACAACATACTCTTCACTGCATACACCGCCGAACAACAGAAATTTTCCCATCGGTACTTAGTTACCTCATTCTCGACATAAAGTAATATCCATTTTTGCTTTGGAGGCATCGTAGAGGCAGTTGTACGTTTTCAAACTGAAAAATAGTGACGAGGAAGGAAGAGAAAATAGTCGCTGCGGTTTCTTAAAATGAATGGAGCGTGGTAGCGTCAGATTATTGTTCACATTAAATTGACCCCCATTTAATTTAAAATGACCGACGGCTGCAATAATGGCGTTTTAAATATAGTGTCAATAAAGTGTTCCTATGTGGCACTGAGTTCTTCGTAGTATGGTATTTACTCTTAAATCTATCGTGCTAAATATCTCATAATCAAATAATGCTGCTGCTGGACACTGAAATGTAGGTCACCAACGGATTCAGAATAACACGGCCAGGTCAGATAATTCTGAACTGCGGGTTCAGAATAACAAGACCAAGCCAAATAATTCTGAACTGCGGGTTCAAAATAACAGGACCAGGTCAGGTAATTCTGAAGCAAGTTAACCAGCTTTCATGTTTCGGTAGCTTTCTGCGAAAAATACGTGGGTTCGTGGACCTTTCTCTAACGGTTTGACAGTCACCAAATACGTGTTTGCCATCGGTTAGTTCGGGCACGAAGTGTTTGGTCGTGTCAAAAATGTGTCTACTGATGTCCAAAAAGGGTTCAGTACTGGTTGGAAACGCGTATATTGTCGTACCAGACCCCCCCCCCCCCCCTTCATGGGTGACACGAGTGGTACTCGACGATACACCCTCCAAAGTGGGCAAAGTGCCACGAAAGGGTTAAGGTTATTTGAATGGTACGAAAAATAGGTGATTATCTCTTATCATAGCTCTCCACAAAGAACTTCATGTTTGATTATTTTGCATCTCGGCTTTCATGACGCTGATATACAGAATACCGATACAACATCTTGAATATATCACCACTGGTGAGTGGTCAATATTTCAATTAATCGTTTTTACCACGAGTCTTGGTCAAAGTACAGCGGGGGACAGAATCTAACTTCCACCAGCAAATCACTGGTGGTAGCAAAATTGGCGCATACAACAGTGATTTAGACCAATTAGGATTGATAATATTCATAATTTTGGCCAATAGGACATATGTAGTCACTCCTGCTGCCCCAGCGCCGAAAACGTGCAAGAAACGCTGCACGATCAAGATTAAAAGGGACGCTTTTGCGTGAGGTAGAAGGCTTGTGCAGCGGGGCTGCCGTAGCTTAGCGTCAGAGGAAGACGGTTAACTCAAAGAGTACAGGGGTTAACTCAACACCCTAACAAAGGTTAATAGGTCCTTAATATCCGAAGGCACCTACTAACGATAACCTTAATAAAAGGGGACGTTACTCTTTAGCGTTCTTAATCTCAACTGTTTATTTTCTCTTTAT